GCCCCGAGGCCTCTCCCGGGTCCCGCCGGGCCAGCTACTTACAGCGCCGTGGCGTCCGCGGGGATGCGCAGCGCGGGCCCGAGCGTCCGCAGCCCGCGACCCGAGCAGTTGACGCGGCAGGCGGCGCCGGGAGCCGGGCCGCAGAGGCAGGGGGGCGCGCAAGGCCCGCAGCCGCGCCCGGAGCCCCCCGCCAGCGACCCGAGCCACAGGCCCAGGCCCAGGGCCAGCGTCAGGCGGGCGGGCGCGGCGGGCTGCATCGTCAGGGTAGCGCGCGCATGGCCCCGCCGTCCCCAGGCCCGCCCGCGCGCGGAGGCCGCGGCTCAGGCGGGGCCCGCGGACGGCATGGCTGGCGCGGGGCGGGATAGGGCTGCCGGTCTGCTGCGGCGCGACGCCCGCTCCGCGCTCAGGGCCAAGTCACTCCAGGAGCTCGGCCGCCCGCTAAGACGCTAGCGCTGCAGTGCGGGCCCCGCCGCGGCTCCTCCTCCTTCTCCCCGTGAGGCACGGGACGGGCGGGGCGAGCGCAAGCTCCGCCCCCTGCCCGCTGGGGCGAGCGCAGCCGGCGCCAGATACGGGGGGGCGGGCGTCGGGAGACTTCACCCTCAGCTCCGCTACGTCGGCAGCTAGGCTGGGAGTCCGGAAGCTCCGCCCACTACGTCTCCAGGTCGCCGGCGACGTGGGGCGGAACAGGGGGCGGGGCTTCCGGAAGACCCTCCCGTCGCACTGCCGAGTAGGCAGAGGCGCGAGGTGGGCGGAGTATTTTCACGCTCCGCCCCCTGCAGGCGAAAGTGCGTGGGCCAGGAGTGGTGGGCGGGACGCTAAATAGCTCCGCCCTTCTCCACGGTGTGGGCCGGGCCACGGACTCCTCCTCCTCCTGCAGCAGCCACAGGCCCGGCCCCGCCCCGCTCCTTCTGCCGCGGCTCACCCTAAGCGGGCGTCCGCCGTACCTGCAGCCTTCCGATACATCCGCTGGCTCCAAGCCTACCTATCCCAGGTTTTCTGGCTAATTGAGAGACACAGGGAGAGAGGGGGAGAGAGAGAACAAACAGTGGGAGGTTGATGGTGAGAGCTTCTTGAAAGACAAGGAGGAGGAAACCCACATCCTTCATTTCCCATCCATTCATTTATTGCCTTATTTATTCCATTGAATCTTCATAGTTCTAGGAAAAGGGTGCTACAGTGATTTCCTTTATTAAATGAGGTCACCGCCGGGCGCGGTGGCTCACGCCTATAATCCCGGCACTTTGGGAGGCTGAGGTGGGTGGATCACGAGGTCAAGAGATGGAGACCATCCTGGTCAACACAGTGAAACCCCGTCTCTACTAAAAATACAAAACATTAGCTGGGCATGGTGGTGTGTGCCTGTAATGCCAGCTACTCAGGAGGTTGAGGCAGGAGAATTGCCTGAACCCAGGAGGCACAGGTTGTGGTGAACCGAGATCATGCCATTGCACTCCAGCCTGGGTAACAAGAGCGAAACTCCGTCTCAAAAAAAATTAAAATTAAAATTAAAATTAAAAAAAAATAAATGAGGTTACTAAGGCACAGAAAGTTTAAGAAATTTGCCAGCGGGGCGCAGTGGCTCACTCCTGTAATACCAGCACTTTGAGAGGTCGAGTAAGGTAGATCCCTTAAGCCTAGGAGCTTGAAACCAACTTGGCCAACATGGCGAGACCCCGTTTCTACAAAAATTATACAAGCATGGTGGCTAACGCCTGTAGTCCCAGGTACTCGGGAAGCTGAGGCCAGAGGATCGCTTGAGCCCAAGAGTCAGTGGCTGCAGTGAGCCATGATTGTGCCACCGCACTCCAGCCTGGGTGACAGAGTGAGACCCTGTGTCAGGAAAATAAATAAATAAATAATAAAAAAAGAACTGGCAGGGCCCAATTGCTCATGCCTGTAATCCCAGCACTTTGGGAGGCTGAGATGGGTGGATCACCTGAGATTGGGAGTTCAAGGCCAGCCAGACCAACATGAAAAAACCCCATCTCTATTAAAAATACAAAATTAACGGGGCATGGTGGTGCATTCCTGTAATCCCAGATACTCAGGAGGCTGAAGTAGGAGAATCTCTTGAATCTGGGAGGCGGAGGTTGCAGTGAGCCAAGATCACGCCATTGCACTCCAGCCTGGGCAAAAAGGGCAAAACTGCATCTCAAACAATCAAACAAAAAACAAAAATTACACCAGTGTGGTGGTGGCCGCCTGTGATCCCAGCTACTTGGGAGGCCGAGGCAAGAGAATCACTTGAACAAGGGAGGCAGAGGTTGCAGTGAGCCAAGATCATGCCACTGCACTCCAGCCTGGGCAACAGAGCAAGACGCCATCTCAAAAAACAAAGAAAAAAAGAAATTTACCAGGTCACACAGCAGGTGGGTGGTAGGGCCACAATTATATTCCAAATCGAGCTTTTAATTGCAGTCAAATGTCAGATGTAAGATTCAAGGACCCCAGAAGAAAGAAGATACATCCACAAGAAACTGATGTCAAACAAGCAAAACAGACCGATGATTGTTTGAAGGCAGTTGTGGAGTAAAATGCAGTTGTTTAAAAAGGATTTCTGAAATAGAAAAGACATACGCTTTTTTTTTTTTTTTTTGAGATGGAGTTTCACTCTTGTTACCCAGGCTGGAGTGCAATGGCGTGATCTCGGCTCATCGCAACCTCCGCCTCCCGGGTTCAGGCAATTCTCCTGCCTCAAGCTCCTGAGTAGCTGGGATTACAGACATGCGCCACCATGCCCAGCTAATGTTTTGTATTTTTTTTTAGTAGAGACGGGGTTTCACCATGTTGACCAGGATGGTCTCCATCTCTTGACCATGTGATCCACCCGCCTCGGCCTCCCAAAGTGCTGGGATTACAGGCTTGAGCCACTGCACTCGGCGACATATGCTTTTTTTTTTTTTCCTTTTGGAGACAGAGTTTCACTCTTGTTGCCCAGGCTAGAATGCAGTGGTGCGATCTCAGCTCACTGCAACTTTTGCCTACCGGGTTCAAGCGATTCTCCTGCCTCAGCCTTCTGAGTAGCTAGGATTACAGGCATGCACCACCACGCCCAGCTAATTTTTTGTATTTCTAGTGGAGAACAGGTTTCACCACGTTGGCCAGGCTGGCCAAACTCTGGACCTCAGGTGATTCACCCAGCTTGGCCTCCCAAAGTGCTGGGATTACAGGCATGAGCCACCACGCCCCGACTGATGTATGCTTAAAGCAGCAAATTAATTATCTGGAAATGAAATTCTAAACTATTTAAAAAACCATGTGGGCTGGGCTCACGCCTGTAATTCTAGCACTTTGGAGGCCAAGGTGTATGGATCACCTAAGGTCAGGAGTTTGAGACCAGCCTGACCAACATGAAGAAATCCTGTCTCTACTAAAAATAAAAAAACTAGCTGGTCGTGGTGGCGACGATGCCTGTAATCCCAGCTACTCTGGAGGCTGAAGCAGGAGAATTGCTTGAACCTGGGAGGCAGAGGTTGCAGTGAGCTAAGATCATGCCATGGCACTCCAGCCTGGGCAACAAGAGTGAAACTCTGTCTCAAAAAAAAAAAAAAAATGTGGTGACACAGAGCAAATAAAATGTGCCAAAGATCTTGTTTGGTTCAGGGAGGAAGACATTAGGGAAATGTTTCTTGATAAAATACAAACTTGAGGATTTTATTAACTGTTGTTAATAATTGTTAGCCTAAAAGGGGGAAACTAGAAGAGGAGAAAAGAAACAAGAAAACTTGGCTGGGCATGGTGGCTAAGCACTCGGGGCCAGGAGTCCAGGAGAAACATGGCCCAGCACTTTGGGAGGCCGAGGCAGGTCGATCACCTGAGGTCAAGAGTTTGAGACCAGCCTGAAAATCCCACCTCTATTAAAAATACAAAAATTAGACAGGCATCATGGCGGCATTTGTAATCCCAGCTACTCGGAAGGCTGAGGCAGGAGAATCACTGGAACCCAGGAGGCAGAGGTTGCAGTAAGCCGAGGTGGCACCATTGCACTCAAGCCTGGGCAACAGAAAGACACTCCATCTCAAAAAAAAGAAAAGGCTGGGGGTGATGGCTCACACCTGTAATCCCAGCACTTTGGGAGGCCGAGGTGGTTGGGTCACCTGAGGTCAGGAGTTTGAGACCAGCCAGACCAATATCATGAAACCCCGTCTCTACTAAAAATACAAAAATTAACCGGGTGTGGTGTCAGGCACCTGTAGTTGCAGCTACTTGGGAGGCTAAAACAGGACAATTCTTGAACCCAGGAGCTGGAGATTGCAGTGAGTTGAGATTACGCCATTGCACTCCAGTCTGGGCGTCAAAGCAAGACTCTGTCTCAAAAAAAAAAAGAAAAGAAAAGAAAAGACAGGAAACTGCAAACACAAAGTAAGTATGGCAGCAGTATTCATACCAGAAAAATAAACGTCAGGCAAAAGGTGTTAAATGGGAAAGGAATCTTTTTTTCTACATGAATAACAGGAATAGTCTATGTAGAATATATTACAAATGGTTCTGTTCTCAAAAATAGAACATCAACCCACAAAGCTAAACTGTGAAATACAAAGATTTTGAAAACCAAAATTGGGCCAGGTGCCTTGGCTCAGGCCTGGAATCCCAGCACTTTGGGAGGCCAAGGCAGGCAGATTACAAGGTCAGGAGTTCAAGACCAGACTGGCCAACATGGTGAAACCCCATCTCTACCAAAAAATACAAAAATTAGCTGGGCATGGTGGCTTGTGCCTGTAATCCCAGCTATTTGGGAGGCTGAGGTAGGAGAATTGCTTGAACTGGGACCTGGGAGGCGGAAGTTGAATTGAGCCAAGATGAAGCCACTGCACTCTGGCCTGGGCTACAGAGCGAGACTCTATTTCAAAAAACAAAAACAAACAAACACAAAATCATCTCAGGAGGCTTTATTATACCTTCCTTTGAATTTTACAGATGAAGTAAACAATTTTTGTCCTGGTACAGTGGGTCATGCCTATAATTCCAGAACTTCAGAAGACCAAGGCAGGAAGATCACTGAGGCCAGCCTGGACAACATGGAGAGACTCCATCTCTACAAAAAATACAAACAAAAAATTAGCCAGGCATGGTGGAGCCCGCCTGTGGTCAGTTCTGGTTACTTGGGAGAATGAGGTGGGAGGCTTACTTGAGCCCAGAAGGTCAAGGCTGCAGTGAGCCCTGATAGCACCACTACACTCCAGCCTGGGTGACAGGGGAGATCCTGTCTCAAAAAAAAAAAAAAAAAAAAAAAAAAAAAGAGAGAGAGACAGACAATTTTTTTTTTTTTTTGGAGATAGAGTCTCTGTCACCCAGGCTATTGGAGTACAGTGGTATGATCTTGGCTTACCATAACTTCTGCCTCCCAGGTTAAAGTAATTCTCGTGCCTCAGCCTCCCAAGTAGCTGGGACTACAGGCATGCACCACCACACCCAGCTAAGTTTTATATTTTTAGCTGACACCAGGTTTCATGATGTTAGCCAGGTTGGTCTCTAACTCCTGGCCTCAAGTGAGTCACCTGCCTCAGCCTCCCAAAGTAGTCAGATTGCAGGCGTGAGCCACCGTGCCAGACCAAAGAGACACTTTTTTTAAAGTCAGTAAAAATAGAGAGACTTTGAGTTAATAAGCTGTATTGTACACAAAACAGGGCTTGTTAACGACTTTGGCGTTGCAGATGTTAGGCAAGGTCTGAGGACAAGCTTAGATAAGCACATGGCCTTAAACACTACCACCCCCTAGAGGCTCTCTTGGGTACTATCACTTGCTTACAGCACCAAATCTTGATTCCAGATCACAACTGAAGCTCCCACAAGCACACCCTAACCCAGGGAGTTCCACCTGAGTAGAAAGGCCTGAAGAACCACCCACAGAGGATCACAGGACAGCTGGACACCCTGACAGCCCAGACCACTGAAAGGTAAAGCTGGAAATCATGGACAGTGCATGGTGGTTCACATGCCTATAATCCCAGCACTGTGGGAGGCCCAGGTGGGAAGATCACTTGAACCCAGGACTGTGAGTCCAGGCTGGGCAGCATAGTGAGACCACCACCTCTACAGCAAACAGAAAAGTCAGCCGGGCATGGTGGTGCACGCCTACGGTCGCAGCTACTTGGGAGGCTGAGGCGGGAGGATTGCTTGAGCTCAGGGGGCTGAAGCTGCAGTTAGCCATCACTGCACCACTGCACTCCAGCCTGAGCGATGGGGTAAGATCCTGTATGAAAAAAAAAAAAAAAGAGAGAGAGAGAGAAAAGGAAGTGATGGATGTGTACCTTATCTTGATTGACATACACCCACAATGGTTTCATGGATGTAAACGTATGTCAAAACTTATCCAAGTGCATACTTTAAATATGCGCAACTCACTCCAGCCTGAGTGACAGATGGAGAGAGACCCTGCCTTACACCCTCAAAAAATAAAATAAATAAATGGCTGGGTACAGTGGCTCACACCTGTAATCCCAACACAACACTGAGGGAGGCTGAGGTGAGTGACTCACTTGAGCTCAGGAGTTCGAGACCAGCCTGGCCAACGTCGCAAAAACCCATCTCTACTAAAAATACATAAAGTAGCCAGGCATGGTGGTGGGTGCCTGTAAGCCCAGCTACTCAGGAGGCTCAGGCAGGAGAATCGCTTGAACCCAGGAGTGAGAGGTTGCAGTGAGCC